TGTGTGTGTGTGTGTGTGTGTGTGTGTGTGTGTGTGTGTGTGTGTGTGTCTCTCTCTCTCTCTCTCTCTCTCTCTCTCTCTCTCTCTCTCTCTCTCTCTCTCTCTCTCTCTAGGTCAGTTTGGCCCTCTGGGTGTTTTTATTACCTCCTTTCCTCGTGGGAAAATCTAGAACGCCTCCAAACACGTCCAGCTGTACTTACTCTCATCACCCTCTCACGTTCGGGACGGTGACTGAAGTGCCTTCGCTTCCTTCGTGGGCCAAGGACCCGCCACAGAAGAATTCCCGTCTTTCCTGAAGCCGAGAGTCACCGGGCCACCCCTCTCGAGCCCTCCCGTCCGCAGCTGTCCCCTTCCAGAAGGGATCTTGATATAATTTATCCTAAGGGATATAATTTCTTCTAAGGGACAGAGAAGGAGGGACAGCGGTAGAGGGGGGACAGAGGGACAGACAGACAGAGCGCGTGAAGGGCTTCCCCTACGAGGGGAAGTCACTTTTCAGTTGCGTGCGATGCCAAGCAGCCAGGAGGTGGCGTGTTTCCGTCGAAAGCCAAGAGGCTCACTTCTCCCAGGATGCTGGTCACAGACCGAGGACCTCAGATCAGAATCCTGTGTCGCTGCTCACATGAGAGCACGAGTGTCACTTGGACCCAAGCTGGCCGGAGACCATGGGCCCTGAGGAGCTGCTCGTCGGCCGCAGAAACCTGGGTGCGCGCTGAACTGCGCTTGCTCGCGGGGCTGGCAGAACAGATCGTGCCCTGGGGACCGGGGACAGCAGAAGCTCGGGTGTCACGGTCTGGAGGCTGGGAGTGGAGACTAGCAGCTGCGTGGGCGTGTTCTGCTGATACTGGAGCCTTCCACGCGGGCCGCCTCTGTCCAGTCACCCCGCGTGGATGAGCATCTGGGGGACGCTCGCGTGCGGGAGCGACAAGCTCTCCGGGACGGCAGGACCTGCAGAGAGAACGCCCTCTGTTCTCGGAGTTTACGCCCAGCAGGGACGGCTCCTCTGGACCCTGGACGGCAGGCAGAGGGAACAGGTGCGCGGGGACCTGGGTGTCACCCGGCATCACTGCACAGCTCGGCGGTCACACAACCCTCCGCCCCCAGGACGATGCCCGGCCGCCCTGCCCAGCTGTGTGCACCTGCTGCTCCCAGCACCTCATCTTATGTGGGGGGAGGGGGCTGGCTCTGGAGACGGGGGTGCAGCCTGGACCACGGCTCTGCAGGGTGGCCACCACGTGCTCCCCCTGCTTCCGAGGCTGAGATCCCCGGCGGCCCGGTGAGAGCGAGCCTCCAGCTTCTTGGGGTTCCCGCCTGAGGTGTCGACAGTCATACCGGGTGTGTGCGGTGTGCGTGTGTGTGCGGCGTGCATGTGCATGTGTGCCATGTCTGGAAACTTGCACTCAGGCACTGGACTCATGTCACTGTGTCCCCGTGTGCAGTGTGACCGCAGGCAGGGACCCTTCTCTGGTGTGCTCTGGTTCCCGAGAGCTGCTGGCCGGCTGTCCCCAAGCCCTGGGGCACTGCTGTGTCCACCGTGCGGGCAGCACCGGGGCCCCTCTCCTGCCCCCTGCTCGTCTGCTTCCTGGGGAGCTGCCCGCAGGGCCACCTGTCTGTAATCAGTCACCTGGAAGGAACAATCCTGATGCATCAAAAAAATCAGCTGTGTAGGGTGCCCCCTAGTGGCTATATGTAAGCAGTGTCGACAGGGCAGCGTTTTCAAAATTAAAACTTAAAAAAAAAAAGAAAGAAAAGACATCCCTGCGTCCCCATAAATAGTAACCTCAGAAGAAACGGGTGCAGGCCCATTACGACACCTGTGGCTGCAGACGGCTTTACTTAGCTGAGAAAAGGATGGCAGCTTGTACCCTAAAGCTTCTCACACAGGGTGCCCCATCCCACACCTACAGGCCTCTTCCAAAGGTCATTCCAATTACGATTAGACAGCACTGTCTGGTGGACACATCTGAGCTTGTGGCTGTCAGAGAGACCGCCTTGCTCCCAGGGGACGACTGGCCTCCGCCCCTGGGGACGCTTGCTGCGCGTTTTGTCCCAAGTGCTCCCTCCTCTGTCTCCTGCCTACTCCGCCATCAGAACCACACGTCACCTGCTGCGCTGTACGTCACACACGCGATATCCGCGTCCCCACGTGCTCTGCTTCATGGGTGGGAGCAGCACCGCAGGTCGCCCAGGGAAGAGCTGTGGGGGGGCCCTCCTGTCCCCCGGAGGCCTCCGCCTGGCGGTTCTGAGTGGCAGCGCCTGCTCAGGGTTGCAGGATAAGAAGCCCCCTCCATCCGCCACCCTTGCTGAGGCCAGACCGAGTCTGCCCTGAGCCATGACAAGGACAGACGTGGATGGTGTCCCTGCTGCTGACTCCACCTGTCCCCACCGGAAACGCTAGACCCGCTCTCTACTGGGCCCCACAGAGGGTCTCCCGGGACCTGGGGACATCTACAGCCCCCTGTGTCACCTGGTTCCCAAAATACATAAAGAACTTATAATTCACCAAAACCCAAATAACACGATTGACGCGTGGGGGACTCCAGCAGGCACTCCGGCAGACTGGCCTGTAGCTCATGCAAGGACCCCAGCATCGCTCCCCACTGGCGAGGTGCAGCCAGACCAGGAAAGTGGGGATCCAAGTGCTGGTGGCACCGCCGTGTGACCCGGCAACTCTGCTCCCAAGATCGATAAAAACACATGTCCACCCAGAATGCTGCACGTGACATTCATGACACAACCCAAGCGCCCGCTGACGGGTGACGGACAAACAAAATGCAGCACACACGCCACGGAGCCCTCCTTCCTTACGAAGGAGTGGCGGCCGTCGGGTCTGAACGGCAGTGGGACTGGACGGGGAGCCACCGGGTCACACCTTCGGCATGGCGCAGGTAGTCAGTTTCATGCCATGTAAACTTTGCAACAGTAAAAATATCTTCATGGAAGAGCCGACGCCTCCTAAAGGTGTCGAGGGACGGGTGGGTTTTCAGAACTTGGCGACCCTGCAGACTGGTGACCCTTCCATGACAAAGGTTCTCGGTGTCATTTAAAAGCAGGAAAGAGGAAAAAAAAATAGTAAACACAACTAGAAACAAACTACTTAAACCATAGCATTTGACATCCATAAGCTACTCCAAAAACGCAGGCTTCCAGGTACAAGGTGGTTTAAAACTTCATAAAACATATAACAGCTTTGAACTACACAGTTTATTCAATTTAACAGAAAGTCTATTTTAAACTTTTATGGGAATTAGAAAAACAGAATCACTGGGTAGTAATTCAAGACATGCGACTTTTAAAAAGTGAAAACTTTAAATTTTATCCCAGTTTCTCATTTAAAGTCTCAGATGACATCTTCCCAATATGTACAAATCCGTGAATAAACAAGATGGCAGAAATGCCTTCGGTTCCCAGGCTTTGGGTCACAGAGTTCAGGGACGTTCATCTTCTCTGTAAGAAGGATTTAAGTCCCAGCCCGTTTCACATTTGTCTCTTACATTTTCCTGTTAAATCTTAGCTCTTCCTAAGTAGACATGCTGAATTCATTCACTGTTTTTCTCAGGAAGGATGTGTGTGATCCAATAATTAAAGAAAGCTGAGATTACTCTGGCATGGTCTGTAAAGCAAAAACAAAACCGAACAAAACAAAACAAAACAATAGAAATTATTTTGTAGATATTACCCTCTGGCCCAAAGTGACCCCGAAATAAGCTAATAAAACGTAACTCTGGTGTGAAGGGGATGTTGGTAGTGGACCGTACACTACACAGCAGATGTGGCCAAAAAAGTGGATGTGCTCTCTGTGTCTGGGGTTTCCTCGGGTACCAGCCCTCGAGGTTTATGAGCCCCGAGACTGATGCAGAATATCACGGCATCATGTGACACGTCTCACGTCCGAGCGCAAAGAAAACCACACGCAAACGGAAAGGAAACGGGGGAAAGTTTAACGCAAACGGTCGAACGTGAGCAAACTAGCAGGAACGGAGCGTGGAGCTCGGTGTGAGTGATGTGGGGTCAACACGGCATTCGAACGGCACAGCAGCCAAACGGCCTACCCCACGGGCAGCTGCTGTCAACGTCACCTGCCCCCTTTACTGTTTTGGGGGACAATGACAGCCACGAGTCAGGCCGCTTGACTGGTGAGGACACCCGTCCGGTGCGGCCGCCGAGGGTTTCATCGACAGCCGGCTGTTCTGCTTGTCAGGCTGTTAACCCCGGGGGGCACACGCTGGCCCCCGACGTCAGCCCAGGCCTCGGGCTGCCCGTGAGCCGCTCACCGGATGCAGAGGCTGGGGACGGCTGGGAGGGTCCCGGCCCGCCGCGAGCTGCGTTTCCTCCAGGGAGGAGGGTAAAAGCTCCGCACACACAGACGGTCAAAGGAGGGTCAGGGGAGGAAATCCCACGCCAGCGCACGGTGCCCGGGGCGTGAGACCGTTCAGCAAACGGCAGGCGTGTGGGACACGTGCGTGTGCGTGCACGTGACGGAACAGAGCACGTGAGGGGGACCGGTCGCTCTCAGCAAAGCCCAGTTTTGCCGCGGCGCTGCGAGAGGCTGGCCGTGCTCGGTCAGGTGACGGGCACGAGCTGGACACTCGCCAACAGCAGACGGGACTTAGCACACGCTCTTCGTGCATCTAGACGCTGTCAACGGACAGGAGACACTGCTGCTCACTAAACGTCCTGAGCCGGGTTTATGCAGGAGAAAACACCTTCGGCAGCTGTGCAGGTGAAATCTGCATGAGACGCATCCAGTATTTGAGAACGAAGCTTCGCCATTTAAAAAATTTCTTTACGAAATAATTTGACATAGAAAAACTTTAAATGCATATCCTACCTGCACTAAAAAGCAATCTACTTTTACAGAAAATTGCGTCAAGTGTAAGTTTTAGCTCTAGCAACCGCTTGAAGTACACATTTGTGGTCAGAACCTGTCCCACGATTTTGCCGTGAGACATGAGAGGAACATTTCTGCTAACTCTCCGGCCGCAGTCAGGTTCGATGCTTCCAGAGCAACGCATACGAAAGTCCTCGCCACGGGAGACGACAAAACTGAAGATGTTTCAATGATTTCACGTCGCATCAAAACTTCCTATTAGTTTAAGTAATGAAACTGGCTTTATGCTATTTGAGATAAAACCGTATTAGGGAATCTAAATGCGTGACATACAGTAGGCCTGACAACCAACAGAATCAGAAAAGCTAGGTCACAGGAGTCAGATGCCACTTGTCACCTTGAAGCCCCTCCCACCCCCTCTGGGTAGGCTTTGCCCTCAGGTTCATTCCCTTCCGGCCAAATGCCCTTATTTCTCCTGCTTTAAAAATGCAGCCTCTAACCACGTCCTCCTGCAGGCCAGGCCCATCTCCCATCTCCCTATGGCACTGCCTGCAATGTCCCCTCTGCCAGATAAAGGCTCCCCGGCCCTGGACCCCATCCCCACACCTGGACACCGATTCCTCTCACTCTACCCAGTGTCGGCTCCCGTGGGTCCCCATGGCACACCTGCCCCCGGGCTGGTCTTTCTGACTCGTGACAGCCTGCCTGGTTCCCACGCCCCTCACCTGTCCTGCCGGCGGACTGCACTCGAGGCCGTGACTGTCAGTCACCCCAGTCTGAACAGCGGCCGGGAGCCTACTGGGTGCCGTCAGATCCCGTACTCGAAGGCTTCAGTAACCGCTACGTCCCTCAGAAGCGCCTACTCACGTGGCCTGGAGCTGGCCCGGCAGTCCCGGGCACCTCCCCGCACGGCCACGCTCTGTCCAGTGCTGCGGGGCAGCCGCTCCTGCTCCTCTGCATAGCTGGATCCCGGCAGCAGGACCCGAGACCATGGGGCAGGCGTCCTCTGCGGCTTCACCACGGACGCCACAGGACAGCGCCGGGCACAGGCCAGTGAGGTTATCAGCACACGCAGGGCAGCTCCTGGTCGCCCCAAGCCCAGTCCCTGTTTGCCCTGAGGGCCGAGGGACTTACCGCCTGCTGCCACCTGCCAATCACACCGCGCCTATGATTTCGCTTGATTTGCCATCAGCGTTTTAGGTGTCTTCAGCTAGACCAAGAGGTTTTGCAGATGAAACCAGGCGTCAGTCCTGTTTTGAGACTCCCGCAGGTAATCTGCAGAACGCCTTCCTTACTCGGCACTCGGCTAGAAGCGTGTCCCTTTCCAGGGGGGTCAGGGGTCCCTTCCCGCACGGTGATGATGAAACCAGGCGTCAGTCCTGTTTTGAGACTCCCTCAGGTAATCTGCAGAACGCCTTCCTTACTCGGCTAGAAGTGTGTCCCTTTCCAGGGGGCTCAGGGGTCCCTTCCCGCACGGTGACGCGCAGGCACGGTGGCCCGCCAAGCCCCGGCTTTCTGACAGTGTCCGGAGTTCTGTGGCCTAAGTATTCCCACCCCGGGCGTTCTGAGCCACCGAGCTGACCACCCACGGTGCCGTGGAGACACAGCACAGTTGGCTCTGCAGCTCGTCCCGACTGGGCACCGACAAAGACCGAGGAACATGCGGAACGAGTCCCCGTCCACCCTTTCTGACCCCAGGCCTCAGACGCCACGTGCGGAGGCCGCCACACGGGCCGCCCACCAGCCGCAGGAGGGAAGGGGAGGCGACAGGCCCCTCGCTTCCTCGCGTGGTAACCAACGTGGCCTACGAGCTGACAGCTCACACGTCTGCCTGTTGGGTCGCGCGTGGTTTTCGCGAAACATTTTCACAGCAAGGCCCCAGGACGCAGCCTCCCCCCCCAGGGGCCACGTGTGCCCCATCCCGTCCGGTTCCCGGCTGTGGGGCGGCAGGAGCAGGCGGCACGGGGCAGCGGGCGTACGCACCGGGCGGCATGGTGCAGCGCTGTGCGAACTCGTCCAGGCTGAGCTGCAGCTGGCTGGTGTCCTGCAGCAGCAGCAGCGTCTTCATGCGATGCAGGCTGAGCACGTCCGAGGGGGCCACGCTGCCGGCCCGCAGGCTTCTCAGCAGCTCTTCACTGGCGGCCTCGAAGACCAAGTCCGGGCGCCTGGAGCCACCTACGCAAAGGCAGGACCGCTTAGCAACGCACCTCATCCTTACCCGCGTAAACGGAAGGGAAGCTTCCACCTCTTAGTTTCTACTAAGGTGGCGGTCCCCAGCCTTTGTGGCACCAGGGACCGGTGCTCCTATGGGGACTCTGACGCCTGATGACCTGAGGTGGAGCTGAGGCGGTGACTCCAGCGCTGGGGAGCGGCCGCACATAGACGGAGCTTCACCTGCTTGCCTGCCGCTCCCCTCCTACAGATTAAAATAAAGAGGGAAAAAGCTAAGCATGAATCTGTTTCCCATGGAAACACAAAGCACAGTGATCTATAACAGCGTCCCCAGCCTTTGTGGCACCAGGGACCGGTGCTCCTACGGGACTCTGACGCCTGATGACCTGAGGTGGAGCTGAGGCGGTGACTCCAGCGCTGGGGAGCGGCCGCACACAGATGGAGCTTCACCTGCTTGCCTGCCGCTCCCCTCCTGCTGTGCGGCCCGGTTCCTAACGGGCCACGGACCGGTACCTGTCCATGGCCCGGGGTTGGGGACCCATGTACTAAGGGACAGCCTGGCTTCTCCTCAGAATGAGATGTCTGGGGTATAAAAAGGCACCAGGAGGGGACTCAGAGCGGAACGCGGAAAAGCTTCCAACAGCCCTCCACTGTGGGCCGCAGCACAGGCCTGGCCCATGTGTCCCACCTCGTGAACCAGCCTCCAAGCACAACATGTGACTGGAAGCTGTGACAGGGTGGACAGGACAAAGAACTGAGCTGAGCAAACGGGGGCCAGGCCCTCCCAACACTGAGGCGCACAGGGGACAGGTGCGGGCGCCCGCGGTGGCCCCCGTGTCGCAGGGGCTCCCCACTCTGGCTGGGCGCTGCGGGCTGCGTGTCTGCATTAATCCTGCTGGGGTTCACAGAACTTTTCGAGTCTGTGGCTATGGCCTTTATCAGCTGCTAAACACCTCCAAGTCTCATCTCTTTCCACAGTGGTCCGCCCGCCACGTCCTCACCTGTGGTGGCGGTGGCAGGTACAGATGCCTGTGGCCCAGGCCCTGCTCCTTCCCGTCTTTCCTCCCCCTCCTTCGCTCTGGTTCTGCCTGGGGCCCGTCTCCCCCATCATCTCCTGTGCTGAATCTAATCTGCTGCTCAAACTCATCTGTGAGTTAATTTCAGTGAATACATTTTCTAGGCCCAGAATTTCCATTTCATTATCTTAATAGATTCAAGCTTTCTGGCGAAGTTCTCCATTTTCTCATTTTTGAAGCTCTTAATCACAGCTGTTTAAACCTCGTCTGATGACACCCGTGTCCCCCACACGGGATCCTCCTGCCCTTTGTCCTCATGGTTTTGGTCACGTGGTCCTGGCCCCTGGTGCCCCTGGTACTTTCTGAACAAATACAAGCAACTGGTCAGTCCTGGCGAATGGTTGTTCCCTCCGGACAGCGGCCCCCTTGCTTCTGCTTGGCAGATGGACGGAGAGGGCACCTGACCCACTCGGGGCCGTGCTGACCATGGGGCCTGTGTGTCTGGCACATGGCCGTCTGCCTCGGGCCCACCCAAGCTCTGGGCGTGGCCCCGTGTGCTGCACCCGGGGTCGGCTCCAAATCACCAGAAAGTCCGCTGTGGATTCAGCCTCAGCATCCGGCCGCGGTTCTGAAGGGGAGACGGCTGTCCCGCCGAGTCCCTGCCCTTTCTCACCAGAGCTGCCCGTCTCCGCCCCACGGCCCTCTGGACCAGTGGCGCTGCCATGCCAGGGCCTGGCAGCCCCCTCCCCGCACCCCACCGACACCCCCACTGGAAGGGGCCCAGACCAGAGGCGCGGCCGACGCAGCTGTGGCTCATGTCGCGGTCCCCCTGCCTCCGAGGTCCGTCCTGTTAGGAGCTCCTCAGCTGCCTTCGGACTCGGTGCGCACTGTAACCTGCTGTCTCAGCTGTTCCCGCTGAGTGCGGGGCTGTCACAAGCCCTGCTGTCGCACGCGGTCCCCGAGCCCTGCTGTCGCACGCGGTCCCCGAGCCCTGCTGTCGCGCGCGGTCCCCGAGCCCTGTCGCACGCGGTCCCCAAGCCCTGCTGTCGCGCGCGGTCCCCGAGCCCCGCTTCTGTCCTGCAGCACCGTCAGCGGTGTCTCCCATCAGTGTCATTCGGATGTTTGTTAAGGATGTTTTCAACGTGTTAATACAAAGTGCTGACGAACAAGCCACAGAGGGAGGGGTCGAGGCCGTCTGTGACCGCCCTGCTGAGACTGATCGAGGAGTCACGGCATTTCGCGTCATCGCTGAGTTGGTTCCTGGCCTCCCAGACTGTCACTCAGCCCGTGTCTCTCCGCGTTGGTCACAGGAACACTGTAGCCTGCCGGCTCTGGTGTACTAAGCCGCCCCGTTCCCCTGACCTATGAGATGTCCTGCACGCCTCTGTCATGTGTGACCAGGCTGGCTCTGAGCCAGCACCGGCCTCCTCCTCAGGTCGGCCGCGAGCGAGGCTCAGCACAAACACACGGGTCGCCATCCGTGAGCGTAAAGCGCTTTCGTCTTCGTCTCCTATGTCTGTGCTGATTATGACTCAGATGCTTGTGGAAGGGTTTTAACTCAGTGCGTTACAGGTGGGAAAGTAAAGTAAACGTGTCCTAGACTGGAGACGGCTCTTCACGCCTCTGCCAGCCGGGGAGAGTGAGCCAGAGCCCAGCGGACCTCCAGCGAGGCTGGCCCCAACGCGCTCCAATCGGCCGTCAGGGGGACGAGGGCGCCCTGTGCCGCCCTCTGGCTGTGCCCCGGGCTAAGTGCCAGGCAGACCTTTGGTGAGAAGAATTTAAATATTCTGACTTTTGCCATAAAAGATTTCTTATGAATAATGAATATTTTAATGTTTTGCATTTCAAATATTTAAATATTTTACTGTACTTGCTTATTTTCCTAAGTAAGTGGATGCCATTATTCAAAGGAAACACAGAAAGAAACGTACCATCATAAAAATAGATTTCTTGTGTTGACTTCAGGAAGTTGAGGAGACCATCTGCCTTTTCGCTGGTGCCTTCACCAGCTTCCTCCCCGGCGTCCTCCGGGCTCGCAGCCGCCTCCTCCCCATGGCTTCCGGGCGCCGCTTGCTGCTCGCTGCTGCCCCCCGCAGGCTGGTAGGTGAAGTCGACGCCGGGCGCCCGGGTGGGCTGGCCGGCCTCTCTCTTCCGCTGGACCCGCCGCCTCTTCTTCAGTTTCCTCCTCCTGCTCCTGCTGGCCGTGGGGCTGGCTGCCGGCCGGGCCTGCAGCGCTCCTTGTGGGAGACTCTGCTGTTTCTCAAATCCTGCTTGCTCCGTGGGGACATTATCGGGACTTTTAAGGTTTTTCTTTGATTTGGGTTTTCTAATTCTTCTTCTCTTTGGTGGATCTTCAGGATCTGGGCCTATAAAAATGAAGATTCAGATACAACAATTTTCCCGTGTCACAGAACCAGAACAAACATGTTAGGCTACATACATTTCCCATTAGAATTCTAGTTTTAGTAGAAAAGGAATTTAAAATTTTGACTTTAGTGATTCTCCACTGCATCCCCAGTACCTACACTACCAGGGTTCTGGGGCTTCCCACAGAGAGCTGAGGGCCTGCGTGTCCTTAGACGGCAGGCACGCACAGACACGCGCTGCCGTGCGGACAGTCAGCACACGGGTGGTTTAAGGACTCAAGAGTTGCGGCAGCTGTGGGAGTGGACTTGACTCCGAGGCCGTCCCCCACAACCGACCAGCGGGCGGCCCTAATGCCAGCACGGGCCTCAGTCCCCAAGTTGTGAAGTGGGGACCTGCCTGCCCAGCTCACAGTCTAGGTGAGAGTCAGGTCCGGGCAGCGTGCTCGGCCACCACGGCCGCCATCCTGAGCCCGGCGGTGCCAGCACACGTGGCCCTCCACGTCCACTATACGGAACCGAGCTGGCTGCGGCCACTCTGTCTTGCCCGCTCCGGGCTTGCTCCCCGCCCTGGCTTCCCAGAATTTGCCAGGAGGTTCTAGCAGAAGTAAAGAGGAGAGTCAGTGATGTGACAGCCTGCAGATGTCGCTGGCCCCCTGCTTGGGTGTCCGCAGGGCCCGCCCCGGGCTCGGTCAGGTGGCCTGAGACCAGGACGAGAGGAGAGGGCACGAACGAGGGGTGTGGGACGAGCAGAGCCCCAGGGAACAGCTCTGACACCCTCGGCGTGTTCTGTTCCTTGCCGGCCCTGCCCCTCAAACTCGAGGGCCTTTTCCAAGGGAAAGTACCACGCGCTCATTTCCGTGACTCGCTCGCAGGCCCAGCAGGACAGAGGTGCGCCTCCTCCGGGAAGCTGCCAGGCCCTGCTCCGCTCCTCCCTGCCTGGCAGCTCATCTCTTCACGCCCTCCAGCTCGAGAGAGGCAAGAGAGAAGCTTTGGGAACCTCTATCAGGGACCAGAGGTTTGACTATTTATAATCTGAGAAGCACACTGGTTTTGAAAAGCTGCTGTCCCCACAACATACCTTTCAGACATGCTAATTTTAAAAATAACCACGATTTGTCAAAACTCTCTCCGCTACTTTTTGGCACCTGCATTCTGATGAACTGCTGTAGAAACAGACACCAAAATAGCCGGTCTCCAGTCTCCCCCACTTCCCACAGCTGCACCGCGTCATGTTAACATAAGCTCAGTGTTTCAAAGGAACGAGGAGTCTCATTCTTGAGCTGAGCCTGGGTTATACACGCACGTGACAGTTCCCCTCAGCCACAGGCGTCCTGTGGGTGCTACCTGCAAAGTCATAACTGACATATGTCGCTCTAACCACCACGTGAAGGTCACTTGTTAAAATGTAATGATATCAGATGCTTCAAATGTAACAATCGGCCGCCTAAAATTCAGGACCCGATTTAGCACCGACCACACGCATTCGGCACGGTAAGACCCGGGCACGCAGACGCAGGCAGACGGTGGGGGCCTGCTGGGCATGCGCTGGCAACACGGCTCTGGGGCCGGGACCCGGGAACGTGGCTGTCAGCAGTGCTGTGACGCAGACGGTAAGTGTGGTGCCGGGTGTGCTCGAGGTGTGCAGTAGGAGGCGGGGCAGCCTCCAGAGACGGCGAGGACGCCAGAGAAGGTGCTGAGACCTGCCGTCTCAGCGTGCCACCGAGCCACCAGCAGAGGCCGCCTTGCCGTGGGGAGCGTGGTAGGCTGGCCGCCTGAGCACCCAGTCGGGTCCAGGGACAGCACGGAGGTCCGCCTGGCTCTGCAGCCTCACTGGACCCTGAGCAGCCTGTACCCTAATGTTAAAGATGTCATCCCGGTCCTCACACTACCGGGCCCGCTGGGCAGAGGCAGAGAGCTCGGTGGCTCCCACCGCCATGAGGCCCCTTCGCCTCCCGAGGGGAGCACCTCAAGGTCAAGACCAAGACCGCTGAGGAGAATGTCCACAGCAGGCCAGTCTCCTGTCCTGCCTGGGCTGCAGGTGTCACAGTCACCCACTGAGGAGTCCGCGGGCTGGAGGTCCCCTGCACCTCGCCCTCCCAGATGTCACCGAAGGTGATGGTCACACCTGGGCCCACGGTCACCGTGCTCTCTCCCCTCTGTAACTGACTGGGGGTCAGGTCACCTCAGTCCTTCCTTCACTCTGCCCCCAGAGTTAGCAATGGTCCCCGTTGCGGGGACTCCTGGGGGGCCGGCCCTGCATGCTCTGCACACTCCCCGCCCCCACCACTGGCTGCTCCGTGTCGCAAGGCCACGCCCACCAACCTGCTGCCTGAACTCGCGTCTCCATGCCCTGTGTCCCGCGAGGCCTTCCCCGGCTCCCCGCTGCTCCGTCCAGTGCCCACCGGCCGGGCCAAGAGTGGCTGGCCTGCTCCTTCCACACACCCGGGGCTGTTCCCAGGCTCCCTCTGCTCTACGACTCACGAGCTCTATGACGTCCCAACGGCTTCTGTGTGGCTCTGCCAGCCGGATGGTGGCCTATGAGGCAAGGGCCCTGGGTGCACCTTGCAGTCCCAGGGCCCGCCCCGTCCTGCAGACAGTGCAGCGCTTACCCACGTGAGCCGGCAGCCTCGCCCTGCTCGCATCGAAGGCTGGTGCAGCCTGGACACCTGGGTGTCCCGGGGACAATCTGAAGCCTGAGGCGGTGGGAAGATCCAGGGAAACAATGGTGACTGAAGACCCGCAACAAAGCTGAGGGCTGAGCATCCCGTCGGCCAAAGCAAAAAGAGCACGTGCACAGCACACCTCACGCCCAGACCCGCAGACCCGTCCCCACGCACGGAGCGCCTTCCAGCGCTGACTCCCAGGGGGACTTTTCACCTGGATGTCTATGTAAACGTTGGTGATGTACGGTGAGCGAGGAACAGGTTTCAGATGACAGTCTTAGAAACACGAGCTAAGAAACACCGCTCCTACATTACCTTACCCGTGACTGTCACCCACGGCAAAGGTGGACACGCGGTGAGACGCCGGCTGCTTCCACGCGGAGGCGCAGGGACCGAGCAGGCACGCGGGCTTCTCACGCTCCGACTCGGCACAGAGTCAGCACCTATGGACGCTGGGGGCTGAGGGGCCCTGGACTCTGATGCTGGTCACCCTCTCCACGCCCCTGACAGCATGCCGGCTGGTGTGCAGCACACAGAACCCAGGGCACAGGGCACGCCGAGGGCACAGACACTGTCTTCTCGGTTAAACGGCCAGCTGCCTGGGGCGGCGGCGGGG